TTTATCTAAACAAAAACAATAACCAAAATTTCATTTTTATTTTTTTAAACGCGTTTTTTGCGTCTCGTCCTTTTTAATCAGTTAAAAAAGTTGAAAAGTACTCCATATAAAAGCAAAAATTTTCAAAAAAAGATCCAAAAAACTCTTTTTGTTTACCGCATTTTCCCGTTATTTGGGTTAATAAAATCATTAATTATACCATTTATTGTTAAACAGAAAAAATGAAATGATTGGCTAATAGACTTTAAGCCAATTTATGTTTTTGGCTATGTTATTTAAGAAATAGTTCAAATCATAGTAATATTTATTAAAAATCGATAATATGCTTTTTTATCAAAGAAAAAGAAACAAATACAGTAAAACCTCTCATTAATAAGTTCCCCATAAAGAGAATCCCCTCATCAAGACACGTTTCAACCAATCAAAACAATAAACACTTGTTTGGGGGAAAGGAAAAATTTATTTTATAACCACTATTGGGGGTTCTATTTTACCTTTTAATCCACTAATAAGAGGTTTTACTGAATTTTTTCATACTGATATTATTAGAATTTTTATTATATATTAATTAAATAAAATATACTATTATATTAATTAAATTGAACTATTAATTTAATAATTTATTAATTATATTTTAATTAAATCACATTAATATATTAATAATAAATGGAGTTATATAGTTTCAAGTATAGTACATATACTATAAATATATTAAATAGTTTAAATCAATACAATTAAAGAGTTAATAGTCTAATGAAGCGATCACGGTGAATATGATGACAAAGTACACAATGAAAAAGCCTATGACGAACACAGCGATGATTGTTGAGATAATAAAGAACACGAGAGACAGAACAGCAAACGACCTTGCTTGAGCGTCCGTTGATTTTCGATATCTGCAATACCCCATTATCCACAAACAGCAGAGTAAAAATCCAAGTGCAAAGAACATAGCAGAAGTCATTGAGTCGTTTTGATTATTCGTATTCACCTTTTGTTGTGGTTGATACGATGGAACAAATATTTCAGGTTGAGGTATGGGTTGTCCTTGGTGAACGGGGACTTGTTGGTATTGTTGTGGAGGAGTCTGCATCATCGGTTGAGTATATTGGACGTATTGTGGGGGTGGGACATTGTACTGTGGTGTGACGTAAGCAAGTGGTTGTTGGTAAGTCATGTCTTCTTTTTTGTGTGTTTTAAAGTTCTTTTTGGTCAAATTAAAATATAGAATTAAAACACTACGAAACGTTTTATAATTAAAAAATAGTTTTGTTTTATTATATTGAAATTTCTTATTTTAGAATTAATATCATTCACAATTTTCAATTGTAGATGAGTAACCTAACATTCAATAGGTTTTTATATTTAATAATATATTATATTTATACTAGTGTTTTACATTTTGTTTTTTAAATGAATTGAAAAAAAAATAAACTATAATTTTTTGATTAAATTATATATAATTTAATTATTGAAACCAATTATGAATGACAACTTTCTGACAAATAATCTCCAAGAAAGTCACATTCTTTTACAACAATCAATTTTAGCTTTTTTATAACAACTATAGTAATGACATTTATAAACAATTTAGTTATTTAAAAAAATTATATGTATTTTAATAATACAGTTTTCAAGTTTACTTATTATTGAAATGTTTTGTAAAATAAAATTTAAGGCCTCTGCGGGAGTCGAACCCACGACCTTTTCCTTACTAGGGAAACGCACTGCCAACTATGCTAAGAGGCCATATAATTATTTTTTAAAAAGTTTCTTATTCACCATGAATTTAAAACGAACTTTAATTTTCAAGATAATTATTTTCAAAGTCAAATTGAATAAAAATATGAAACTCAAAAGCTAAATGACAGAGATCCGTCCACTCAATGGCTATGAAATTCCTGTTTATTATGTGTGTCTGACTTTGAGTGACACGTTTAACAAATTTGATTACACACAATTTAGAACTGAAGTGGTGAAAGAGATTATCAAATACACTCCTTTTCATCTCACTATAAAAACAAAAGACGGGCATTTTTATTGGTATAAATTAGACGACAAATGGCTTATAGATAATGTCGATATTTATATTACAAAAGTTCCATTTGAAGAAACAAAAGAAATTGAAGCGGCTGACTACAATTTGCCACAAGAAGGTGCTCCACTGTTTCACGTTGAATACTCAGAAAATGGCGCAACAAGTCGTTTAAAGTTGTATGCAAACCACTCACTATGTGACGGGCGCACCATCGCTAATTTATATCAAGTCCTCAAGAACGCAATTCCAAACGAATTTCATAAAGCCCTTCACGACGACGAACTTCCTCCATTTGACTATAAAAGTCTGTACACCATCAATGAAGATGTTTTACACCAAAATCCCGTCTCTTGGGATATCCCACACGTTCCAGTTGTTCCTCCAATAACAAAGAAGTGTGACTACATCAACATCTTTGGCACTTTCGACTGTCAAAAAGTGCTTTCATTCTGTCGAAGATACAAAATTGGAGTTCAGGCGATACTAATGGCGGCACAAGAAAGAGCTACACGACGTTTTATGAACATCAACCAATGAAGTGCCTATCAGCGTGTACGCACCAACAGACACAAGACAAACAAAATTCGCAAATGAGGAATTGAAACGTCACAATTTCTATTGCTCGGCTGGAGCTAACTTCCCAGCAATCGTCGGCAAAGAAAGTATTATGGAAGATCTGAAAGAGTGCAATATTAAGATGAAAGAGGCGCTAAAAACGTCTGATTGCTGCGTGCAAGTACTTTTGTCGTGCAAACAAGTTGATGAGAAAACACTTGAATTTACACCAACAAAAGGAGCACCAAGTTTGTCAAAAATGCGAGTCATTGCTTGCTCAAATATTGGGTATTACGAAAACATGAACGACCCGTATTTGGCTGTTAGATGTCAATGTGATATCAACGAGTTTTCAGTTGTGTTGGACTCGTGGCACTCAGAAAAGAATCTTCACACGTTTTTGTTTATCCCTGGTAAAATAAACCAAAAGTTTGTCAAGGAAATAAGAAGAGAGTTGGACGACATCATGAAATTTGTGTGCGAAAATTAATCAATTTATTTTTGAATGGTTATGGTTTGAAATTTATAACATAAAAGATGTTGTCATAAATGCAATATTAATAACAATGTTAACATGTATTTATATAAAGTTTCAAATTAAACATTTATTTACTGTTAAAACCATTTGAATTAACAGAGTAATTAAAAGTTGTTATTTGTTTAGAATTTTAACAATTAAAGTGACTTCCCAAGGTGTGCAAGTTAGTTTAAAGGTGTGCAAGTTAAGGTATAGTTCATTTATAATTTTTTTATTAAAAAAATAGAATCATTAATTTTTTGAAATTTTGAAAAAAAAGATTATTTTTAGTTTAATTATTAATTATAATTTCGAAGTTATTACTAAATTATACTTTAACTTGCACACCTTGTGACGTTGCAATTTTTAACTTTCACACTTCGAATACAATTAATTAAGCAACAATTTCGGGAAAGCGACCCAATGGAAATTATCGAAGGACCAGTTCTGGACAACAGTGCACATCGATTTGTAACAATGAACTGCACCTATTAAACATACTATTTGTTATTGTATGCTATAAAATGGCACAGAGAAAAACATAATGTTTATTACACTTTCTTCTTGTCGCTTTGAATTACGCTAACACAAGAGACATCGACATTTATTCACGTTCTTGAAACAAAACAGTTTTTACATTAAACACATAGACAAACTATAACCCAATTTTTATAATTTAATTTGCTTTTTGTAGTTTATTAATTCAAGCACCAAAGGGTTGTGTGTTTTTTGAAACAATTTGGAAACGAATAACATTTTCAATAAAATGTTTTTCAATTAAAATTTAGTCTTGCAAGCCCTTTCCCTGTAAAAAAGACAAAAAATTTTAACTTGCACACCTTGGGGAAGTCACTTTACAAAATCTTGATACTTGTAATTATGTGATATTATTGTTTAACATTCTCAAACGATTTCAACATTAAAATTGATAATATTTTTATAAAGTGGATGTTATGTCATAATTGTAATAATAAAAAAGAACATTAAACGTAATTATTATCAAATATCATGTTTGATGTTTTTTAAATAATTTAAAAATAACCAACCAAGAAAATAAGGAACATAAATTTAATTTGACAAATTTAAACAAAATTTAATCATTTCAAATAAGCAATATAAACATAATAATTGATTAATAATGTTATTGTTCAATGACAATTAACACATATATATCATCTCGAATTAGTTATAAAAAACATTGAGTAAAACAATTAAACAATATGATACATTTGTTAAACTTAACTATTAAATTTTATCATATTATGTTGGATTAAATATGTATTATATATGTTATCTTTGAAATTTTAATAAAAATGAATTAAGGATAAACCATGAATCCAAACTCGCTTGATAAATTTTCAACTCTTTTTAAACTTTGAGGAAAATGAATGATATCATATCCATGATATTTTCGTAAACATTGTTTTGATAAATAATTTACACCCTCCGGTATTTCGCATATTTTCTGGTTATTTTCTATGACAATTCTCGAGTATTTTTCAAAATCAGTATCCACAAAATATATATTTTTGCATTGAACCCCATTCTTCAAAAACTTCTGAAATACACCAAACGAGACTGGAAAGTCAATTTCATACACTTGTTTTTCTTCTAAGTATATTTCGTGTAACTTTTCGCAATTCAAAAAAGCTATTGGTGATAATTTTGGAACACTTTTAGGTAGATAAATCCGTTGCAAGTTGACACAATTCAAAAATGTATAATTTCCAATATAAGTCACTGTTTTTGGCAAAGAAATTTCCTCCAAATTAATGCAATTTGCAAAACACAAATCTTTGAGACATTCAACACGATTTCCTAGTATTATTTTTGATAATGAAGAACATTGTTCAAATGCTTCATTCCCAATTGAAGTCACGAAATTTGGCATTTCAAACTCTTTCAGAAGACAACAGTTTGAAAACGTACATTTCCAGTTAATGTTAACTCGACCAGTTTTAATGACTTGAACTGACGACAATGTCCGACAATTAAAAAACACATCTCGACCTTCTAATACACTTTCTGGAAAAATTACACTTTTTAGTTTTAAACAATTGGCAAAAGCAAAATCTCCAACAGAAGTCACACTGTTTGGGATGTCTATATATGTCAACCCACACGCTGAAAAAGCGTGTACACCTATGATTTTTAGATGATCTGGGAGCTTCACGTTTTCAAGGGAAATGCATCCACTAAAACAGTAATAATCAATTGAAGTGAGAGATTGTGGCAAAGTAATTTCTTTCAATGTGAATTGATCTTGAAACGTATATTCAAGTGCACACACATTTACTGGCAAACAAATTGTATGTAAATGCAATTCTTTGGTTGGAAATTTCA